AAGGCAACAGGTGGGGGCGGGCGGGTTCCCCCAAGACAGAACTAAATCCGTAAAGAGGAAATCCCACAAAGAGTAGACGGGGCCACATCTGGGGAGACAACTAAAGGTTGATCCTCGGTCTTAGGCACAGAGAAAAAAGCTTCATCTAAGTAGGGGGGCTATCATAGTACATGTGGACAGCCAGGTGGCACATCTGAAGGAGAGAAGGGTCCGCGGACCTGGGCACGTGGAGGTAGTGGGGTGTCTGGATCCTGGGGAGGAGTGAGGGAGGCGCATTTGAAGATGCAGCCTCATCTGGCTAGGACTCTCCACACCTGGTGGGAGAAGTCAGGATGGGCGGTGGATTGAGGCTGTGGGCGGGGGTCCTCACATCTGGCCAGAGGCCCACATCTGGAAGACTTTAGGCAGGAGGGGACACATCTGGGCCAAGGCCACAGCAGGAGGGGGACTTTTGAGGGTAGCCGAGATTAGTGACTGTTCTAGCCCAGGGTCGAACTGGAGTGGAAGGAGGCGGTAGGGAGGAGGGGGAAGCCTTTGGCCCCCAGCCGCCCCGCAAATCTTGGGCGTTCGGTGCCCAGGCAGGCGCCAACCCGTACAATCGTTTTTGTTGTCTGGGCTAGTTGGGCCGCTCTCTCCGCCGGGCCTGCGCCCCCCTCTTCCACCGCCGGGAGCCCGGACGCTTGGTTTCCCGGCCCCGCCCCTGTGGGTCAGCGCCGCTGGCCTGTGCCTGGTTCTGTCCCGGACTCACCTCCCGCAGCCGGACACCGGGGTCCCTAGAGGGGACCACGTCCTGGGGGGGGATACTGAACTACAATGGGGGGGCGGGTAGGTGGCGGCTGAACCGTGGGAACCAGACGGCTTTATCTGGCCCGGAACCCCCCGCCCCCAGGGCGGAGGAAAGGCGGATGTTCTTACCCGGGGCCTGGCCCCCGGGGGCGCGCTGCGGGGGCCTCTTTCTCAGCAGTGCCCGGCCCCCTGGCCCGCGGGGCCGCCGCCGCTTCAGCAGAGCTTGGGCCTCCTGCAGCCTGGATAGGAGTACAGAAACGGTTGTCACCGCGGTTAAGCCGACCTCCGCCCTGGCTGGGAAGGACCTCCCATGCCAGGAGGTCTCTCAGTAGAGGTTCTGGCCAACTCCACCCTCCAAACCCATTTATGGGGATCAGACCTTGACTGTTCTTTAGAGGCTTAGAGAGAAAGAGACCAAGAGGGTGAGGCAAGCCAAATTGAGGAGGGGAGACAGAGGACAGGAGACTTAGACACAGAAAGTCAGAGATAGGCAGTGAGACAGAGAGAAAGAGAAAAAGAGTTCATCAGGGAGAATCACAGGAGACAGAGATTGAAAGAACAAATACAGAGTTGGACACAGGGACAGGGCCAGAGATACAGCCTGAAAGACCAAGAGACCGAGAAGAGCAGAAAAAAAGAATATATATATATATAGAGAGAGAGAGAGAGAAAGAGAGAGAGAGAGAGAGAGAGAGAGGAGAAACCCAGAGAAATGGTAGA